AGGATATTGGTCAAACAAAAGTACATTTTGTGTTCTTCATCTATGGAGGCACATCCATTTGTGAATAATTTGTGAATAATCAGTAGAATAAAAGCTACAGGTTAACCATTAGTTCTTCTATATAGACAGCTACAGACTTTATCCAGTCTCCTAAATATTAGCAGAAAAGAACAGGAAGTGGTCTGGATCAGGGTACAGTATGTAGAAGGTGATTGTTGGGGGTGCCAATTGCTATAAATTCATCTGACTTTACAGTCCTGCTTAATACAGAATGAGGAAAGTCCTGCTTTTCCATCCAAATACAAAAATTATTTAATAAACCTTTAACAAATCTTTATTTCAAGGTTGTTTTTGCATCTTCTTCTGTCTGTCCTTCTGGTTAATTGGTAGCCCTGTGCTACTACTGTCATAGATAAAACTTTCTCAAATTGCTTGCTTCCCACACTGCTGACACCTGTTTGGCCATTGTTCAGATATTGATTTTTAATCCCATTATTCTACGATATTAAATAACCCAGTTAAAGGTACATTTAGATTTTCTCCTGTAAAGTTCATTTTTAGAATTCTTGTTTAGGGTTGAAGCTGCAGTAGCAGACACCATAGGATGTTAAAAATGTACATCCAGTTTTTCTCTGATGTCTGTGACTAGTTTATGAACCCTGTCTAACCCATTATACATGCAGTTGTAGCTCCATAGGCAAGGTCTTCCTTAGATGTGAATACCTACTATAGATAGTGTGTTTTTTTTTCTTTAATTCTCCTCATTTGCACTTTCTGTTCTGTGCACTGCATAGCACAGTAAAACAGAAATTGTTGCATGTCTTATTTCATAACATATACCAGAAGTAAAAAGGATTATTCTTCAATTATGGATAGCGGGTGAAGAAATTAAAATCATTCCAACTCTCCATTAAGAACCATTGGTGAATAGTGCAGATTCAGCCTAGCATTATAGAGCCACTAATTCAAAACTGCATACAACTGTTTCAAGCCATTATCAGTGCAGAGCAGAGAAACCATGGCTTCTGTGGCATATTGCCTGCGGACAACTTAATGGGGTTGATTTATTAAACTGGAGAATTCAAAATCTGGTGCACCTCTGAATAGAAACCAATCAGCTTCCAGATTTTTTTCTCAAAGCTTAATTGCTGAAGTTAGAAGCTGATTGGCTACCATGCACCACTGCACCAGATTTTGCACTCTCCAGTTCTAGTAAATCGACCCTATTGTATAGTGAAACGTTTGTCAAAAACTAGAAAAAGCCTTGTCTTGACATACATTTTAACTATCCCACAACCATGATAAATCATAGGGACCCTGTCACCAACCTAAAAAATTGCAGTTAAAGGCAAATAAACAAAGTATTTGAAATGCTTAAATGCAGCATTTATCCTTTTTTATATATATATAATAAGGACCTTTTCACATGAAGGGTCTAATTAGATCCACCTGTTAGTTTTTCAAGCGAAGCTGATCAGACGGTTCATCCCTATGGACCACAGATTCATGTCTGTTTACACCTGCCTACCCCTGATCCAATCCAATCTAATCCAGTCAGCTAAAAAAGAACGAAAAGGTATCTGCTGTCCTCTGTCTAGGGGGTCAGATCGGAGGGCAGTCTGCTGTCTGTTTTTGCCTGGCTACCCACAGAGCAGAGCAGGCTCTGTCCATGTCTATGCCTACTCTGCAGTAACTGAGCGGTCATGGACCTATCATCTTTCCTGCTCTGCTCAGCAAGCTATCAGTGTGTGAAAGGGGCCTAAGTGTGCCTCTGAACTTGTTAGCACATTTGACTATGCAATTCTAAATCACAACCCCTCCTTCTGCAATGTCGTAGGCCTCCACTCTTTTAGTAGAGTGCCCAACTCATCCAAACCTCCCTTCACCTGTCTACAGAACCTTTTATGTAGCACCTGGCAAAGTAGTAAGGGGTAATACAAATAAGTGTCACCTAAGGTGAACTATTGTAAACTTTCCAATACTTACCTCTGCTTCAATGGCCTGACGCCTGTAAGAGCCCTCATCACCATCTTCCCCCTGGCTTCATTCAAGTGCCAGTCTTAGGCAGCCTTAATTGGCTAGCATGGGGTCACATTACTGTGAGCAGGCCAGTAGAATCATCTTATTGCAGAAAAGACATTGCATGCCTCTTCTGCATTAAGAGTCTGCCTGCTTACGTTTTCTAATATAATTAAGCTCCACTTTGTGACAGCTATGGCCCTTTCAAATGGAGCAGACCCATCAGTGGATCCACCTGCTTAGCAGGGGATCTCTCCACTGATCCCAACTGAGCAGGTGGATGACAGATCTCTGTCCGCTCTGCTGCTGCAGAGCAGACACAGTCACAGCCCGCTTTTTCCTATGGGGCGGTTGGATGGAAAAGGACCGCTTGTCCGTTGTCACCTGACTGTCATCTGATCCACCTGAAGATGGGGAGTGGATCCCCATCTTTCTGTTTTTGGCATACAGGATCGGATTGGATGCCGGCGGGTGTCAGTGGACCATTGTCTACTGACAGCCGCTGGTCTATAGAGAGGTCTATGGATGGTCCCATCCTGAAAAAACAGGCAGACCTAATTGAACTGTCAGTGTGAAAGGGGTCTGAGTCTGCTGGGGCTGCTGACATCACAGTCAAGATGGTGGTGCCCAACACCTGTGGCTTTTTGATGTCTTCACTAAATGCAGATAATCCATACTTTCTTCTGTTATATTAAGCAGGAAGCCTTTTCGCTGTGTTTTTGTGCACTCAGTTCATTTTAGATGTATTTTTTAGATTGTTTGGTAAAAGTCTTTGAAAAATCTGTGGTATGTACAAACACAAAGATTGAAATTGGTTTAAAGTGTTACTAAACCCACAACAGTAAAATCATTCTGTATATGCAGCAAAGCATGCTTGTTATACTCACTGTGGAACCTAAGGGGTTAATTCTCCATATTGTCTAAAAAGGATGTTTAATCTCCTCTTCTCTGATTCTCTCTTCCAGTGCCCCCTAAATATCTCCTGATAGAAGAGGAGTTACTCTGCACGTGCGCAGTTTGGTGTGTGTATAGCTAGAGAGAGATTTTTTTCTTGGGAGAGTGCATGTGATCAGCACATTGCTAATCAGCACTGTCCAGACAGAGGTCAGGGGTCCTGCATCCTGTTAGAGCAAAATGAAAACTCCACCTTCAAGCTTTAACCAATGTTCTGTTGGACACTGATAGCAGTCACAAGACTGCTCCAACTACTGATGAGAGAACATATTGCAGTGGCGGCATACCAGTGATTTAGAATGATATTACAGTTTCCACATATATTTTAAAGTGTTATTAAACCCAAAAGCAAACTTTTGTTATACTGCAGCTTACCAACTCTTAGATGTGAAGGCTGCATTAAGTTTCTTTTTTAGTTTTGCTTTCTTCTATTTCCATCTGGTGATCCTGCAAGTAAGTCTGTTATTTTTGAAAGGAACAAGCTCTCCAACAGAATGTATTATTATTATACATTATTTATATAGCGCCAAAAGGTTTGTTCAGTGCTGTACATTATAGTGGGGGACAGTACATGAGACAATACAGTAACAGGACAAAACACGGAGGGGTTCGAGGGCCCTACTCTTTCGAGCTTACAATCTAGGAGGGAGGGGATAGTGGTACAGGAGCAAGTGGCTGTGGTGGATGGAGTAGTAGGAGGAGTGTAGAGTGTAGATCAGCAATTAGGTGAGGCTGGGGTAGGCTTCCCTGAAGAGATGGGTTTTCAGGGTGCGCCTGAAGGTGAGGAGGGAAGGTGACAGTCTGATGGATTGGGGTAGAGAGTTCCAGAGGATGGGGGAAGTCCTGGAGAAGTCCTGCAGTCAGGCGTGGGAGGTGGAGACCAGGGAGCTAGAAAGTAGGAGGTCTTGTGGGGAGCAAAGATTACGGGTAGGGTGGTATTTGGGTATCAGGTCGGTGAGGTAGTTTGGGGCAGCGCTATGAATGGCTTTGTATGTCAGTGTTAGTAGTTTGAATTTAATGCGTTGGGCAATCGGAAGCCAGTGGAGGGATTGGCAGAGAGGGGTGGCGGATATGGAGTGGTTAGTAAGGTGGATGAGTCTGGCCGTTGAGTTCAGGATAGACTGAAGCGGGGATAGTCTGTGATGAGGTAGGCCAGTGAGGAGGGAGTTTCAGTAGTCGAGTCGTGAGATAATAAGGGAGTGAATGAGTTGTTAATAGTGTCTGGGGTTAGGAACGTACGTATTTTGGAGTTGTTGCAGAGGTAGAGCCTGAATGAGTTTGCCAACGAATGGACATGGGTTTGGAAGGACAGGTTTGAGTCAAGAGTGACACCTAGGACTTTGGCTTGTGGGGTGGGACTGATGGTGGCGTTGTTGGTCGTGATGGAGAGGGTGGGGTGGGGGGCACAGGCTGGGGGGAAAATTAGGAGCTCAGTTTTGGAAAGGTTCAATTTGAGGAAATGGAGCGACATCCAGTCTGATATGTCGTTCAGTAGGTGGGCGATACGGACGGAGACTGAGGGAGTGAGGTGAGGGGTGGAGAGGTAAATTTGCGTGTCATCGGCGTAGAGGTGGTAGTTGAAGCCATGAGAGTGTATCAGTTTTGCCGAGGGAGGAGGTGTAGATGGATAAGAGAAGGGGCCCGAGGACAGAGCCTTGGGGGACCCCAACAGAGAGGGGGAGGTGGTAGCATTATAGGTAACACTGAAGGAGCATTGGGACAGATAGGAGGAGAGCCAGGAGAGAGCGGAGTCTCTGATGCCGAGGGAGTGTAGTTTATTAAGGAGGAGGGGGTAGTCAACTGTGTCGAAGGCCGCGGAAAGGTCGAGAAGTAAGAGGACTGAGTAGTGGCCATTAGCTTTGGCGGTTAGCAGGTCATTAGTGATTTTGAGTAGGGCGGGTTCGGTGGAGTGTAGGGGACGGAAGCCAGACTGTAGTGAATCGAGGAGGTTTTTGTCAGTGAGGTGGGCGCTTAGGCGATTGTAGAACAAGCGTTCAAGGAGCTTGGAAGTAGATGGCAGCAGGGAGAAGGGTCTAAGGATGTTCAGGTCGGTGGGGTCCAAGGAGGGTTATTTAAATATGGGAGTGATGCGCGCGTGCTTTAGGGGGGAGGGGAATGTGCCAGTGGAGAGGGAGAGATTGAAGATGTGGATGAGGGAGCATAGGATGGAGGAGGAGGGTGACCGGAGGAGTTCTGTGGGGACAGGGTCAAGGGGGCAAGTGGTGAGGCGGTCTTCTGAGAAGACCTTAGTGACCTCCTCAGTGGTAGCAGTGCTCAAGGAGCGGAGTGTTGGGGAGGATAAGGTGTGCGGGATGTTAGGTGTGGTGGGGGGCAGGGCGGTTGCGAGGTCAGAGGAGGGGAGAGTTTGAAGATGTGGATGAGGGAGCATAGGATGGAGGAGGAGGGTGACCGGAGGAGTTCTGTGGGGACAGGGTCAAGGGGGCAAGTGGTGAGGCGGTCTTCTGAGAAGACCTTAGTGACCTCCTCAGTGGTAGCAGTGCTCAAGGAGCGGAGTGTTGGGGAGGATAAGGTGTGTGGGATGTTAGGTGTGGTGGTGGGGGGCAGGGCGGTTGCGAGGTCAGAGGAGGGGAGAGTTGATGGGGTTATAGTGGGAGGGAGGCTAGGTGGGGCGGTAGGTTGAGCATTGGCGATGTCCTTACGGATTGCATCATTCTTGTTTTGGAAGTGATTGGCAATCTCGTGGGCAGTGAGTGAGGTACTGGGTGGGGGTGGGGGGGAGAGAGTAGGGAGTTGAAAGTGGAGGAGAGAGGGGCGAGGACAGGTGGAGAGGGTGTTGATGAGGGTAACGAAGTAGGCTTGTTTGGCGGCATGGAGGGGGGAGGTGTAGGTGAGGAAGGTGGATTTGTAGAGGGAAAAAGCTCGAGGGGATCTGGTTTTACGCCATAATCGCTCCAGCGCATGACTGCGTCGTTTAAGATTTTTGGTGTGGTCGTTCTGCCAGGGTTGAAGCGGTCAGGGTCTAATGCTACGTGTGGTCAGGGTTGCTAAGGAGTCCAGGGCAGCTGATAGCGAGTTGTTGTACGCAGTAGTGGCCAGGTCAGGGCATGACAGTGGGAGAATACTGTCGTACAGACGGTCAGCTGCAGAGTGGAGAGGGGCCGGGTTCAGGTTGCGGAGGTTACGGCTGGTGATGGTTTGAGGTTCGGGGGGGGTGTTAGAGGACGGGGAGATGGAGAACGTAATGAGGTTGTGGTCAGAGAGAGGGAAAGGAGTGTTTGTGAGGTCGTGGAGGGTGCAGAGATGGGAGAAAAACGAGGTCCAGGGTGTTCCCGTCGGTGTGTGGGGTGGGAGGACTGTGTAATGTATTGGTTATGAGATGGGCCAGACTAATTGCCGCTGTACTTACAATGACCAGCTTTTATTTATATGAAAATCTTCATTCCAAGTATTAGGTGGAGTTTAGCTTTAATGTGTTAGTGTATTTAAATATGCTAGTACATCTAAACCTCCCCACCCCTACAGACTGTCAATGCTGCTGTCTAAAGGTGCCCCCTGTGCTATTCATCCAAAGTGGTATCTGTATATTACAGGAGGTGTGTTACTTGCCAGATCACCAGTTGAAACAGAGGAGAAAAAAGACTAAACAAAGAGAAAACCAATGCAGCTACCACATCTAATGGTTGGTGGCAATAATATTACACCTTTAGTTTTGGGTTTAATACTGCTTTAAGAAAAAAAAATGGTTTAAAAAAATATAGAATTAGGAAAACTGTATGATTTGATGTATTTTTTGGGAACTGCAGGAGATTTAGTCAAAAGTCCAATATACATGTCCATGCTGTAAATATATTGTTAAATAGTTTTAAAATAGTTTTTGTACCTGCTGAGATCTGCTAAGCCGTGAATATGCAAATAGGTTCTCTTGACAACTGCAATGGTTAGTTATTGTGTATATGTTATGGCCTTTCTATTAGAAAAGAAAAGAGTTGTGTTCATTTTTGCGTTCTCAGCATCTCTGGCAAAAAGTATTTTTTATTGATATTTTGCAGATCATATAATCACTATATGCACAATACCATCTAATAGCTGGAGAGGAGCAACACAGCTCATTCATGCTGAAAAAAGCTGCAAAAGGAAGCAGCGTTTCATTATTTTTAGTGATCTGCCAGCAGGGACTTAAAGGGAAGGATGACCACACAGGAATGATGAGTTTTTAATGATGCTGTATCCTAGTGGCTATATTTTTTCACGTGGAGAACAGTGAATTTGAAAAGGGGTGTGTTTTTTTTTTGAATACCAGAAGAATATGTTTTTTTTTTTTACAGCACACCTTTAATGAAGCTACTGTGAGGAGCCTGTTTAATCGACTACATTTGTTTCCAAACATGCATATCACCTTGCAAATCTAAGTATGAATTGCACCCCAACATACCCAACCAGCACACTACAATGGTCATGAACTATCTGTGTGAGCTACATTATAAAGATGGTACTGGTACATTTTTTCCCGGATTGCAGTGTGCTGCCACCTAATTTAAAAAGAAAGGGCATAATTATCTAAGTATGCGTCAACACATGAAAACACATACATTACCATGGTGCATTTACAAAATACATTGCGGTGCATTTACTAAAGGCAAATAGTCTGTGCACTTTGCAAATGCAGTTGCTCCAGGGCCCAGTAAATGAGGGGAAGCCCTGCTGTCGCCCATCACCCAATCATGTGCAAGCAAAAATGCAGTTATTTTCAATTCCTTCATCCTCCAGGAACTGCCTGCATACTCTCACCACATGAGGCCAGGCATTGTCGTGCACCAGGAGGAACCCAGGACCCACTACACCAGCGTAGGGACTGACAATAAGTCCAAGGATTTCATCCCGATACCTAATGGCAGTCAGGGTGCCATTGTCTAGCCTGTAGAGGTCTGTGCGTGCCTTCATGGATATGCCAGCCCAGACCATCACTGACCCACCACCAAAACGGTCATGCTGAACGATGTTATAGCAGCATAACCGTTCTCCAAACTCTTTCACATCTGCCACATGTGCGCAGGGTGAACCCGCTCTCATCTGTGAAAAGCACAGGGCTCATCCTGTTCCTCCTTGCACAAAGAAGCAGATACCAGTCCTGCTGATGGGTTAAGGACCTTCTATGGCCCTGTTCAGCTCTCCTAAAGTAAGTTCCAGTCTCCTGGGGTCTCCTCCATGCTCTTGAGACTGTGCTGGGAGACACGGCTAACCTTCTAGCAATAGCACCTGGAGGAGTTGGACTGCCTGTGCAACCTCTGTAGGGTCTAGGTGTAACCTCATGCTACTAGTAGTGACACTGACCCTAGCCAAATGCAAAACTAGTGAAAAACAGTCAGAAAAAAATCAGTAGGGAAAAAAAGATCAGTGTCCTCCACCTGTAAAATCATTCCTGTTTTGGGGGTCGTCTCATTCTTGCCCATCTAGTGCACCTGTTGTTAATTTTATTACCAACAAAGCAGCTGAAACTGATTAACAACCCCCCTCTGCTACTTAACTGACCAGATCAATATCCCAGGAGTTTAACTGACTCGATGCTATACTCTGATTACAAAATGTTCCTTTAATTTTTCTGAGCAGTGTACATTTCAACATTCAGAATAACTGACTCTTCTCATGAACACCTATGTTCAGTGCAGGAAGTGACTTGCTGTCCAGGTGAGTGGCTATTTCTCCTTGTACACAATACAGAGGGAGTATTATCACATGGCCTAGACTGTCTCCTTTGAGAATTGTTGCTTTTTTGGATTCTCCCCTGTGCAGGTTTTGACCTGTAGTACTTTGACCTTTTGTATGGTCCCACTGTTGAGCACACAGAGCTTAGCACTTGCTAACACATATAAAAGGGCTAGTTCCTAGCAAAAATGTGGCCATTGTGGGGGCACCAGTGAACAGCGAGTGAGTTGGGGGGGTTCTCATCTTCCTCCATACACCACACTTGACAGCACTTGAGCATGAACACAATTCACCAGCCCACAAATGAGGAGCCTAGAATAGGCCCTTAACTCAGGACACTATGGGGTTGATTAACACATACTGGAGAGTACAAAATCTGGTGCAGCTGTGCATGGTAGCCAATCCATTTCTAGCTTTAGTTTGTTCCATTTGGTTTTGACAAAAAAAATTGGAAGCTGATTGGTTTCTATGCAGTGCTTTATTTTTTTTGAGAAATAACTTTGAAAAACACCCCCTAGCATTTCTAGCCACGGCCATCTTGAGTAAGAGCTGATGATTCATGTAACATGTAATTCCTGGAGTCCATCTGTCCTTAGACCAGCCTTGCAAGCAGGAGGGTGTGCTTATCTGAGGAAGCCCTTCCTCCAGATGAAAAAAAAAATGCCCATGAAGACTCCTGGGATGTATGACATAATTTTGGCCTAGGCAAGAAACCAGGAAGCAGCTGAAGAAATGTAAATGAATATACTAAGACTAGCAGCTTAAGGGTTAATAGTAGTTAATGTGGATGGAGAGAGATTAGTTTTGCTTTTAAGGAGCACTTCCTTTTCCTCAGAGCAAAAGGAAACCTTCTTATCTTTGTATTCATTTATTAAAAGAAAATCCAAGCTGAGAGAAACTGGCATGGCAGTTTTGGGTCACAGCATCATTATGCAGATAAGCAGATATGGAATCTATCCTTAAAATCAAACTGAAACTAATACAGGCAGAAACTGCATGCATTGACTAATCTACAGCCCCATTTTGCAGCTGCTGCTGGAAAAGGGAACTATATTTATGATGTGAATTAAGGGACAGTACTTCTGCCATACTATTTTGACAAGTAAGTAAAATACAAAAATGATTTACTTGCATCTTTTTGTTTTGCTTTCATTAGAAACAATCTAAGTTTGATTTATTAGTCCGCGTCTCGCATATAATCACTACATAAAAAATACTGCAGACATGGACACCACCGATGCCTAGGCAAACAGAAGCCAGGGTAAGGCTATTTGGTAAGGATCAGTTTGGACCTATGCATTGCGGTAACACCATAACATGCAGATTGTTGTGCATTGCATGGACATTCATTTTACAGTAGTGAGCAATGCAGTTGCCTCAAAAGATAAACTGTGTTTTTTATTGCATTAAAGCATGCTGACAGCCTGTTCAAAATGATTGACCTGCCTTATAGAACAGCAACCCTTAAGGTGTGACAACAAAGTTCATTAACACATGTGCATTAATGCAGGGTGTGGGCAGGGTGTCAGGTGCCCTGGTGGAGACTCTGTGGAATTGCACTTGCTAATGCCTAAACCAGGAGGAGCTGCGGTCATGTGAAATCAATATAAAGGCAGGACTCCAGACTTAAAAGTGAGAAGTAAACCTGCACAGTTACCTCTTTGTAATTCGTGGCCATACATGTGTTAACACTAAGCACTTTGGACACAACTCCTGTTAGAGAACACCACTCCCCAGGTGTGCAGCATTTCTGAGCTGGTACCTCAAAGCTTGTATAGATCACCAGCCCAGCAATCCCATCACCTGACTCCAAGTAACAGTGTCCCCATGTTGCTATTGGACATGCAATTCACCATGCTTGTCCTCCTTCCTGGGTCCCCCATACATCTCTCCCCCATGACTTCAGACTAAGTCCCTAGATACTCTGTGCCATGGTGTTGGTCCCAGTGTGTGGAGAACTGACCACTAGTGAAGGAC